ATGTCCGTTGACGCCGACGTTGGGGATGGAGGAGAGATTGACGTGGCCCATGGCGAGGATGTGGCGGCGCGCGGCGTGGCCCCCCTTCATGGCGTGCCATATGGCGCACTCAACCACCGCGTTTTGCCTGGGGGTGTCGGGGGCGGTGTACTCGCGCCGAATGCCAGCAGCGTCGCAGAACGAGGTGAACGCGGAGCCGGTGAACTCGCCGCCGTTGTCCATGCGGAAACACCCCGGAGTGCCCATGCCGTTCATATCGGCGAGGAACCGCTGCATGAACTTCAGGGTGTCGCTTTTTGCCCACATCCCGTACCCCCGTTGCCACCGCGATGCGCTGTCCACGAACATGATCAGGTACCGGGAGCCGTCCAGCGCGTCAGAGAACGGGCCCGTGAGGTCGATGTGGACTTTGCCGAACGGTACCGCCGCGCGGGTGCCACGCCGCGGCACCGGTGCCCGCCTACCCTTCGCCTCCACGCAGCCCACACATGGTTGCACCTCCCCCACCAGTCGCACGCCCTGCTGCTTGACCGTTTCACGCATCAAAAACTCGTTTACATGGCCGGTGGAAGCATAGAACAAATTAATGTCAATGGTCGGCGTGGATTTTCCTACCGAAAACGGGGAAGCACCGGGGGCGATAATCGCCAAGGCATGCGAGAGGGAGGGGGGAGCTACGGTTTGCTGCTCACTGCATCCAGCAACAAAACCCTTCAGGCAATCCAATTCATCACTCATCACGGCAAACGCGGGGGGAGGGGGTGTTGCAGAGTCGCAAACATCAAGCGCATCCGGAAAAAAATCACCCTGTGGGACCGAGTCTATGCCATCCATCAGGCCTACATCAAGGAACATGCTCATATCCATGAGGGGCAAATGGTCCTGGGGGATGCGAGGGTTGATCACAACTTCACGAAAATTGCTCGGATCAACGATGGAGGCAGAAGCAATGTCAGACGACGCTACGGCAGCTGTGATTACAGGCTGGTTGTCGGCAATAATAATCGTTGGCACTACATCTACGTCGATGGGCGGGAATGCACAACGCGGGATCACTACACCGGACGTGGTGGATGGGACGCTCGAAGTCGCACTCGCAGACGAAGGTACAACACCGGCAGCGACTCCACCGGCGGACTGGAAGCTCGGACTCGCACTGGCACTCGGAGGTACAACACCGGCAGCGGCACCACCGGCGGACTGGAAGCTCGGATTCGCACTCGAACTCGAAGGTACAACACCGGCAGCGACTCCACCGGTGGACGGGAAGCTCGTACTCGCATGTGTGCCCGCTCCTGTGTTTGGGGGAAAAGGGGGGTTCGCGACAACAAGGCCTGTCCCAACGCTAGGCGGGGGAGCTTGGGGAGGCACACGAGGGAGGGCATCGGCACCGAGGGTTACAGCACTACCGGTATACGTGGGAGGCAAGCGAGTGGCCCAAAGAGAACATCCTACATCGGAGTAAGCAAAGGAAAGCTGGCCATTGAATAGATGCACGCCATTTTCATCCGACGTAATTCTCTGCCTACGCTGCGTATGGTGCAGAGGAAACAGATTGAACGTGATGCCGGGGACTACGTACACGTCCGACATCTGCACGCAAAAATCGGTCTCGCCCGAAGGGCCATGCGTGTGAAATGCCACGTTGATGCTACCAACACATTGCACGCGCAGATAGGTACCACTCCCTACTTGGATGAACTCTTTTCCTGCTGGGATCGGCTTCATGTCGAACATGTTTTCGCTACTGCTGACAAACGTGTTCCTTGCGCCGCTGTCGGCCCAAAATTGCTCTCTACCAATCTGCGAAGGGCGACTCTGAACAGCAAAGCGAAACCACTACCATTCTCACGCGCTACCACACTTGGAAAGATCTCGCCTTGTGACACAAAACGTGTCTTGAGGAAGTGAAGATGCCCAGGGGATCCGGCTGCATTGGCAGGAGGCGAATGGTACGGGGCGTGGGTCGAGTGCTGCAGCGGCTGCGGCTGCTGCTGGAACGACGGCGGTGGCGGAGGCGGGTAATACGGCTGCTGCTGGAAGCTGTAGTCTGGCAAAGATTGCTGATGTGGCTGATGCTCCCACCCCCCATACTCGTTACCATACGCGGTCCCCTCATGGGGCGCGGCACCATACGGTTGACTTACATTTGCATGCCCGTATGGGGGCCGACGCTGCTGCTGCGGTGTACGAGGGGGAGCTGGATGTCCATGATACTGCTGTCCTCCGTAGCCGCCGTGAGGCCCGTGCCGGGGCCAACCCCCCGAGCCCCCCCCACTGCGACTCGGCTGCTGCGGCGGCGGTCCCCGAGGTTGCTGTTGCTGCTGCTGAGACGGCTGCTGTCGTTGGGGCTGCTGCTGTTGCTGAGGCTGCTGCTGTTGCTGAGACTGCTGCTGTTGCTGAGGCTGCTGCTGCTTGGTCTCCTTCTTCCGTTGCCGACGCTGGGTGTAGCACTCGCTGTTGGTGTGCGACGAGTACGGATGATAGTCGCAGCGCCTGTCTCCGTCCGCCCTGTTGTTGCTGCTCCGACCGCCTCCATTGCCGTCCTGACCCCCGCCGTTCCCACTGGACCCATTTTCTCGATGCTTTCGAAATTTGTCATTATTGTTTTGCGTACACCCTTTGCTCGCCAAGGGGGAGGGGAAAAGAGCGGAGAGCAGGCAGGGCAACACCACACGCGCCCCCGGTCTACTCCTTACGATCAGTATAAACAACGGCCACCAACAGACAGAGACATATCAACTCTGTCTGCCCCCAAACCAAAGGCTGGTGCGCCATACTGATCCCCCNACACGATGTGTACAACGTACAATATATACGGCATACAATATGTACAGCAAAATACCATCGGTACAACAAGGATCTCGACATACACAACGTGCCACGGAACCCCTTCACACGTCACCCCATCGGGTACCTTGCCCTGGCTGTGTAGTCACCTTCTCCTTGTTCGCCAACACCTCTGACACCCACGAAGCGTCACCCCCAACAAACATTCCGAACGTAACACTGGTAACTACGCTCCCCCGACCAACGCCCTTCTCTTCGAAGAACCTCCGGCGAAGCCCCCNGGAGAACCTCCGGCGAAGCCCCCTCCGCCGCCAAGAAAGTTGCGCCCCCAATTCTCAGGGAGTGCAGCGCGTACTCCTCGGGCTGCAAACCCGCCAACGCAACCACTTGGCGAAGAGCCACAGTAGCTTGACACTTAGTCCACATGGCCCACTGGCCCTGACCAACACCGAAAGCCACGAGAGGCGCATGCGAAGGCAAAAAGGTATACAGAGAAAGCAGCTCCACCATGACATCCACTGCACCACGCCCTCGGTCAACCCCACAACACGGACCTTGCCGTGTGCGCGTGCAAACCGCCCCCTTCCGAAACTGGTCCCCTTTCGACGAACGAAAACGTACCTCCACGCGATCGGCCAATGGCCACTGCGCCGACTGCAACAGCTGGACCGACCCCCGAACAAAACGCTACGTCCCCCCGACGCAATCCATGAACCTCATGCATAGACAATTTCGACACCGCAAACATCTCGGATGCTCGCGTCAGGAAGAAGAGAGAAGCACTCAGCGCAAGAAACAA